CTCTCTCTCTCTCTCTCTCTCTCTCTCTCTCTCACACACACACACACACACACACACACACACACACACGTCCCGATTGCTCTCTTCCTCGACCTTCCTCTGCACTACAGCTATGGCCAGGTCAGGCGGGTCACACTACCGAAGCCTGTCAGTTGCATTAATTTAATTAACAAAAAGACCCTACAATGAATCAATTAATTCGTCATAGCAGAGAATCAAAATGAGGTATGCAACGTACTCGAGCTTCAAATCAATGTCCTCAAAAGCAGGGAGTATGCCGTCGTGTTTCTACAAGAACACCAAAAAAAAACAACTCAGCTTTACGCAAAATAGCTGAAGTGAGATTAACCAATCGAAATGAGGTTATTCAACCGTTATTGCATACATTCCGGGAGAAGGCCATACTTTACAAGAGCACTGTATTGTTATGGTTCGAGGAGGTAGAGTCAGAGATTTGCGTGGTGTAAGATACCATTGTATTCGAGGAATGAAAGACTTACAAGGAATTCCTAATCGACGTGAGAGATGATCAAGGAGGCTGGCTACTTCAATATATGCACCCCAATGGAGCAAGTATGTGGGCGACCGTTAGGTACACACAGATTTTGATCGGAGTTCATTGCAGGTACAGCGGAGTTCATTGCAGGTACAGTTTTTGATAAAGGACCGGTCCTCATACAAAGACAAAGGCTCAGGGAGGCCCAGCCTTGGGACTTCTGGGCGCTAGGGCCGCACCACCCTTATTTTGGCGGCCTCGGGGCTGCAGTTCATTTTCTGGGACTTTGTTTCTCTTCTTTCAGACAGCATGAACACTTTTTGTTTGTTCTGGCAATTTTCTCAGGTTTGCTATGTTTCCCAGAAGGAAGTCCCTGCAGCTTTGAAATTAAGTTTATGTTGAACCTTGCCAGCTGTCCCATGATCACACATGCGGCCTGATGGGCCACGGCATTGGAGGAAGCACTGGGACAGCAGTTGACTGGGAATGTCTAGGCCTGAGCTTTATCAAATACACCAATGTGAAGAGAGCCATCCGGCCAACACGAGATTGCTTCCCACAGGGGAGACGTGAACCATCATGCTCTGAAGTGCCTTGCCGAGATCGTACAGAGCACAAGGCCTGCAGTTGGATCCCACTGACAAAGTTCATCGATGAATGCGCCTTGTCCCAGTAGAGCACATAATTGACAATTTCTGGTCCAATATCGGTGCACATTGGACCTCCTGATTGCACAGCGTGTCATCTGTCATATAGATATAAGCGGTAGAGACCACAAACTGCAGATGCTGTTGTATGGTTAACGGTGAGAGAGTGCAAGAGTGATGTGAAGTGATCCCCTCCCGACACCGAGGAACTGCCATGTACATTTCTGCTCACCTCCTATCCTGTGGAATCAATGCCAAGGCATCATCATGTGCTTCATAACAATGTTTAACGCATTATTAAGGATCCTGTCATTTGGCAGGTTAACAACAACAAAACAAAACAAAAAAAGAGGCTCCTTTCTATTGGGGAGGAGCCCCTGCAGGGAGTCGGGCCCAGCGTCCCTGGAGTACAAATGTCACTCATACTCAATGCATTCCCACATTACGGCCCGAGGATCCCTGGCAGCATTGATTGCTTCCCATACAAAGGATTAACTGCCAGTTAAGCCCACTCATTTTCGTCAAAACCCCTCCCCTTCCACAACCAGCCCTCCCAAAATCATGCCAAAGAACAGCCAACCTAGATCCTCCCTATACCCTTTAGTGGAATATCGAACTTTGTAGGCCCTACAAAAGGGCGGGCTTCTTCCGACTGACTATCCCCTTCCGGTAGGGGAATGCCTACTTGTGATCAAACCTACCTCCACCTCAATACTCCTACCCCTTCCCTTTCCCCCTTTTCCTTCACCTCTCTTACTACCTTATCCTTTTCCTCCTGTTGCTTTTCCGTGCCTGTCCTCTCCAGAAGAGATTTGATACTTGGATCCATAACCCCTTTCTTCTTTTGAAAGTCGTTCTCCTCCTTGCATGCATTTTGATCCTTCAACAATCCTCTTCCAAGTGTTCCTCCTGTTGTTTTTCCGTGCCTGTCCTCTCCAGAAGAGACCTGATACTTGGATCCATAACCCCCTTTCTCCCGTGCCTACGCTCCTTGAATGTCGTTCTCCTCCTTGCATGCATTTTGATCCTTCACCAATCCTCTTCCAAGTGTTATCGTCGTCTTGTTCGTGACCTCCTATGTCCCCTTCACACAAGTTTTCAAACTTCAGTGTCCACCCTTCACCTGCGCTATCTGGCCTTTCTGTAATAACGTCTCCTCGAATTCCTTCCGCATCCTGATTCTCTTGTACGG